TCCCTCTCTCGCTATGTCTCTCTCTGTCAAATAAATAAATAAAATCTTTAAAAATAAAATAAAATAAAATTTCAATATTTATGCAAAATGCATTCTCTTAATGGATAGGTATAAAGCAAGCTCAGTAAGATGTTAATGATAGAATCTGTGTGTTACAAAGCAGTAAGCAACGGCTGTAATCAGACCCATCAGTAAGTAAGCAATGAAACAAAACACATTTCAAATACCTGACACATAATTTCAGTCATTACTGACAGTGGTCTGCCCTATCTCCCTCTCAAAATTTCCTTGTCAGCCCATCACTACTCACAAGCACATACACATACAGCATGCGCCTGTCTGACTTCTAGAGTTAGACACCAAGAACACTTTCTTGACTCTAATAAAGTCATCTTTCTCTCCAATATGATCAAAATCAGATGGCTTTACCACATACTCTTTGAGCCTATAATTTAAGTGTAAACCAATTTCCTCATTCATTCAAATCAAAAAGCAATCTGTGTTCTAGTGATCTAATAAAACAGACAAAAGAAGAACTACCACACATTGCCAGGTAGGTATTTCCTATTTTCTGATTATGAAAATAATACATAAGATACCCTAAATGTTTAAGAATACAGAATTTATTAAATAAATTATGGTACATCTATAGATTTAATACTATGGGGCCATTAAAAAGCAATGAGTATGAAAACATGTTCACAATGTGTGATATGAATAGAACAGACTGCAAAACTGTTTACGTGGTTTAATCCCAATCCTGTTAACAAGTACAAGAGAAAGAGAAAGACCAATGATCAGGGTACACCATAGCCAAGAGCTTTTAAACACTGTTTTTGAGAGACACTGCTGACATGCAAAACAAGGTGGTGGGCCAAGCACAGGGTTCCTCTTTCCTTGAAGAAGGAAGGAAGGGAGGGAAGTGGGGGAGAGGGAGGGAGGGAGGGAAGGAGGGAAGGAAGGAAGGTCGGTCAATCACTCCTACCAAACTCAAGTCTCCTATAGATAACAACAGTACACTGTAGACCAAAAACAAAATGAACAAAAACCCTGAAGGGACTGGAGAGTGAGCAGAAGCAGGGCATATTCAGGACAGCACGGACTCTTGGAAGAAAGGGAATGGCCACTGTTAGCCTAAGCACAAGCCAAAGTTGGCGCTGCACAGGGCAGATAAAATGACAAAGGAAAATCCACACTCTTTCTGGCCTAAAGAACCAGATGGCAGAGTTCAGAGCAACCACAGCTGCTAGAAAGTAAGGTGGGAACCTTGGAAAGGAGAAAGCCCGGAATTCTGTGAATAAAGTCTGCTCAAATATCTGGCTGATCCCTGAGCCACACATATGCGGGGCAGACTCCAACTAAGGATACAAAAACCAAGCTGAGATAAGAGCTGCCATCAAAGACAGAATTTGCAGCATAGCCCAACCAAGTTGATTGCCTGGTTAAAAGAAAGAAAAAAGGAAAAGGAAAAGAAAAAAAAAACAAAACCCTCTCGTCTCAGAGTAATATAACAGATTCTAAAGTGTCCACAACACAACATCCAAAACCCAGAATACAATCCAAAATTACTCCATACACAATGAAACATGAAAAGGTGACCCATTCTCCAAAAAAAGACAAACCACAGAATCCAAACCTAAGAGCCTCAGATGTTAGAATTAGCAGATAAAGATACTAAAGCCCAGGGCGCCTGGGTGGCTCAGTTGGTTGAGCGACTGCCTTCGGCTCGGGTCATGATCCTGGAGTCCCGGGATCGAGTCCCGCATCGGGCTCCCTGCTTGGCGGGGAGTCTGCTTCTCCCTCTGACCCTCCTCCCTCTCATGCTCTCT